CTGAGAAATGACTCGACTTGACTTGAAAGTTGCTTGTGACTTGCACATGTGTGACTTTCCCCCATGTCTGTTATTTCCCGAGATTCATGTGATAAGGCAGACACTGTCCCTTTTGGAGAAGCCTCAGTTTTGACTATTTTCAATTTTGGGGAGGACCCAAAGATCATCCAAAATGTTTTATTATGCTACTAGATAGGCAGGTCTATCATACCAAAATGTAAACTAGAGACATAGAGGAAGTCAAAAATACCAAAATTGTTTGGTCCATTTAAGTGATACCAATTTGTGAAAATTAGCCCCTTGGCCCCTGGACGATTTTTGCGAAACACTTATACATCACAAAACAGTGAAACATTTGCACATAGATAAATTTCCAATTTTCTGTAATCTTGTGCTGACTGTAAAGAGCTTCACATGGGAAAATATGTTAATGAGAATTGTCCATAGCATCATAAATTGTAAACGTGTAACAGTCCATAAACAAATTGGACACATGTAACAGTTCATAATCACACCACATTCTGCCCCTTTTTTAAAAAGACAGAGTTCAGGTGCAAAAATCTCTCAGCCATTCAGGCGGCTGAATCTGCCTGCAACTGCGCTGGGGCATGGGAGGTGGTTGAGCAGGAGGGGAGATCTGAGGGTGCACATAAACGTCCTCAGGCTGTACACAGGTACTGGGTGTGTGCACATCAGGGAAGGGGGAACTTGCAGGGGACAGGTGTATGACGTTCCATACTTTACCATCAGAAAGTTCGTAGGTTGCAGGGCCTTTCTGAGCAACAACCCGGAGGGGCTGTGTGAACTTGGAGTGTCCTTTCTTTATGATTCTTGGCTTCCTGATCCGAACATAGGAACCACACTGAAACTTTGACTTTGAGACTGTGCACCACAACGTTCATCCACATAGCGCTTTACTTTGGCTTGTTTCAGAGTCACAGTGTCTCTCTCAGGCTGAGCAGATGCGTGAGGGGAAGCGATGTTTTTGATGTTCAGCTTGGTGCGGAATGGACGGCCATGTAGAAGTTCAGCAGGGAAGACTTGAGTCAATGCATGGGGAGTGGCTCGATAAGTGAGGAGGAAGTTTGTGACAAAGGGCTTCCATGGCTGACCTTCAATGTCAGCTGTTTGTAGACAGTCCTTTAATACTCTGTTCCATCTCTCAACTTCTCCATTGCTTTGGGGATAGTAGATGGAGCTGCGGCAGTGCATAATGTCCTGAGCTGCTAAGAAGGCCTCAAACTCAGCAGACACAAATGAAGGGACATTGTCAGTCACAAGTTCAAGGGGGTTGCCTTCATGGCTGAAAACAGCAGACAGGAATGCAATGACAGTAGCGGATCTGAGGTAAATGCTACTTCAGGCCATTTACTGTAATAGTCCACCAATGTGATGGCAAAACGGCAGTTGGGTGGAGCAGAGTGGAATGGGCCCGCAATATCCATGGCAAGTTTTTCCCAGGCTGCATTGGGAAGGGGCACTGGTTGAAGTGGGGCAGCTCTGGTTATGGTGGTTTTGTCATGCTGGGAGCAGGTGGTGCATGACTTAATGGCAGCTTCAACATCAGAGTCCATACCAGGCCACCAATAGAGCTCTCTCAGTCTCTGTTTAGTCCTCACCATACCTTGGTGAGTGTCATGGGCAAGCTGTATGAGTTGTGGCTGAAGAGCCAGGGGAATCACAACTGGGTGAGTACCTCTAACCAAAACCTCATCAAGTTCAGCCAGCTCAGTCTGTATAAGGTAGAAGGGCAAAAGGGCAGGATCAAGGCCTTTAGCTGTATGGGGCCAACCATTTCTCAGATAAGAAATAACCTGCTGCAGCACTGGGCAATCTTAGTAGGCAGTATGTAGCTGCTCTGTAGTAACAGCTTGAAGGTCCACAGACACCATTGCTATCATGTCCTCATCCAGCTCCTGTGGGTCAGAAGACGGCAGGGGCATGCGTGACAAACAGTCTGCTATGACGTTATCACAACCTGGCTTGTGTTCCACAGTATAGTTAAAACACATGAGGCAAGCAGACCATCTTGAAATCCTCATACCTGCTCTTCCGAAGCCTTTGGTGGACAGCAGGGCTGTAAGTGGGCTATGGTCTGAAGTGTCTTCCCCACAGGTACGTGCGCCAACGCTCAGCTGCCCACACACAAGCAAGAGCCTCTTTCTCTATGATAGAGTATTTCCTCTCACAGTCAGTATGGGACCTGGATGCGAACACAACAGTCTTTTCAGTGTCTCCGTGTAGCTGAGTGAGCACTGCACCTATGCCGTAGTCACAGGCGTCTGTAGTGACAAGAGTAGGGAGAGCAGGGTCGAACAGTGTAAGCGCTGGGCTTGTAGCAATCAGTCCTTTAATGCGAGAAAAAGCCTCTTGTGCAGCATCAGTCCATTTAAATTCTGCATTTTTCCTCAGCAGAGCACGAAGAGGTTCTACAACAGAGGCGTAGCAGGGGATGAACTTTGAATACCACCGCGTGAGGCCCAGGAAGGACTGTAGGGCTGTGGCATCACGAGGGGGAGGAGCCTCTGTAATAGCAGTGACATGGTCTAGGTTGGGACGGATGCCCAAAGCAGAAACAACATTGCCCATGAAAAAGTTCATTTTTTCTGAACAGGCACTTTTCCAAATTTAATTTCAGTCCACTGTTGTTCAGTCGGTGCAGTACAGCTTTGAGTCGTGTCTCATGCAGCGTAGGAGTGTCAGTATACACGATAATATCGTCTAAGTAACACTGTACTAGGGCTGACCCAAAAAATTTGAAGCTTCGAAGCTTTGTTCGATGGCACGGGATTCGATTGTGAAAAAAAAAAAATTGAAGCTTCGGCGCTTTTTTTTTTCCGTTTTTTTGGGGTAGGCCTTAAACGCAACACTAACCCCCACCAGTCCGATACTTACAAGTGCACTCAGAGCTGGTAGACATGTCCAAGAGGTCATCAGATGTGTGGTTGCACTTTAAAATATGCCCCGACAACCCCCAGAAAGCAAAGTGCCAGATTTGCCTAAAGCAATTGGCATATCACAACTCAACAACAAATTTGGGAAATCACTTGAAAAACGTAAGTAGTAACTAGTAGGCCTAATAGTATGGTTGTGGAGTCATCCGGTCTGATTTTTGCATGAATTGCCTAAAAATGTTTCACAGTAAACCGGAGAACAGGGATATTATTGCCACTGGTTATTTGAAATGGATAAAGGTATTTTTTATTGGTGAGTTAAGGGAGAATAGCCTATATATCATGGAATTAAAAAAGAAAAAATCTCTGACAAGGAAACAGAAAGCCCCACGCACAATGGAGACCTGCTATTATCCTGCTTGAACACAGACGACTAAATTCTTTCAACAATGTGACTCAAAATAATGATAAAATAGATTTCATTGATGTAAAATATGCATTTTCCAGTTCCACCAGTCCGCTCTGAGTCTGGTGTCAGAAACACTTCTGATGCTCTGAGTTGCACATCTGTTTGATTGTGCTGCAGTGTGCGCCGAGGGTTTTAATTTAGTGTTCAATCAAAAGTTAAACACTACTTATCACCAACCATTAGTGTTTTTTCGTTTGTGAATATTTTTATCTTAATTCTAGTGTTTGAAGAAACTACGTTTTCGCCATAATTTTTTTTTTTTTTTAAATCCCCCCCCACCATCCTTTTCCAGTCTCTGTAGACAACGTAGCTTTTGCGGCACAGGCTGTATTTCAGGTCTCACAGTGACTTTGTGGTCAAATCCAGTAACTGTTCCAGTATCTGAAGCATCAGTTTCAGCAGCTGTGTACTGTACAGGGACAGCAGGAGATGTGTTAGTAGTGACATGACCATCTCTGATCTCAAGTTGCAGGGCATTGAAGAGATCCATGCCTAAAATGGGCATACCTGCTGGGACAATATAAATGTACTTGGACGTGCATTTTGTCATGTATGTCACCATCACTTCCAAACAGCCTAGCACGGTATGGGTTTCTTTGTGTATGTGGTCAGTGTTTTTCTGGGCTTTAGGAGAGGGGTGTGGCTGAAGTGACTCTTGTACATGTGCTCTGGGAGAATAGAGGCACCAGACCCGGTATCCACAATCAGATCAGCAGTAATTGTAGGACCACCTGAAGCCTTCATGGAGACGCTGCACATTAATTTATTGCTCCGTGTAATTTCATCATCCTTATCAACTAATAGCACTGTGACGCTGTTACTAACTAATAGCACTGTGACGCTGTCACTAGAAACTTCTCCCACATTGCATGAAGCAGTCCTGCTCCTGCACACTCTGGCAAAATGTCCAAGCTTATTACACTGTCTGCATGTGACTGATCTGGCTGGGCACTTGGGGTAAGCTGCAATGTGTGTTGAAGAGCCACATCTGTAGCATGTCTTACCAGCAGCCGTTGAGCCGTTTGAGACAGCAGTCTTTGGAGGTGGTCTGGGACCAGAGTTGGAGTGTTTTTGCTGCCTTTATTTCCCGCCACGAAAAGTAGTCCCACGCACCATGCCTACTCGGCTGCTCCTCCTGATGAAGCTATTGTTTTAGCTTCAGCAGCTGCATTTTCAATCTGAGCAGAAATTGTCAAAGTCTTTTCAAGTGTAAGCTTATCCTCAAGCAGCAAGCGCTCTCTGATCTGTGCATTGGACGTTTTCTCCACAATTTGGTCTCTTATCATATTGTCAGATAATGTTCCAAACTCACATGTAACAATTAGCTCCCGCAGAACAGCTACATACTGAGCTGTGGACTCACCAGCTCACTGAGCTCTCTGGCGAAACTTGTTCCTCTACGCGACGATATTCAGTTTGGGTACAAAAAATGTCTTTAACACCTTTAGTGCATCTTCATAGGAATCTCCAATCGCTGGCAGCATGTAGAAGATCCGCTGAGCCTCCGCGCCGACTGTGTGTATTAGCACAGCACGCTTCCTCTTATCCTCCACTTCGTCGGCCAGAGCAAGCACGTAGTTATCAAACGTGAATCCATGCTTCGAAAGGCACCATAGGCTCACCTGGGCTTTATAAAAATTCCGGAGGTGGCGAAATCCCAAGCAGAGCCATCATCGTCACCAATATGTTGTATTGTAAGAATGGAAGAAAACTAGCAGGCAAGCTATTTCAGAGGAGTGGTGTTTACTTCATCTCGGTCAGATACAAATGCACAGTATAGTCACAATGCAGGGTTTACATAGGGTCGCACTGCCACCTACTGGCATGATATATTTATGACATAAAAAGTCTGACAGGGAAGGAGAATGGACTATAGATACTGTGGATAATGAAATGTACATGGCATGATAACCATCAGTGTTTATACTATGGTATACAGTGGAAGTGGTATACTACTTCAACCTTAACCCTACCTACTCAGGGCATCCACTTCACTTTATGATCATCTGAAGGTGTTTATTAACAGTGTGCTTTAGGGTGGACTTCCTCATGAAAGAGTTTTGTTTCTACTGGTAAGTCTCTTTCTACTGCGTTGACTATCAAGTCAATTTTGAACGCATGTATTAAAAAACAATACATGAAATCATGCTGTAGTTGTCATTGGACAGGTGGAGGCAACAAGTAGTGGTGTGAAAATAAGAGATGTCAGGGGATTAGGAAAGCTCCAAAGAGAAAGAATGAGAGGAGGAGGAGGGACGGGTGTGATAAAGAGAAGACACATCCTAAAAAAGAACAAAAAAGGACAAGAGGAGCTTCGTCTTCACAGAGAGTCTTCCTCTGTTGTTGACTACTACGTTTATAATCTACACCAGTGATGTGCCAAATGAGGTCACACACACTCCTAACACTCATTCACAAACTATGTGGCAATCTGTGATCGGAAGATGGGATCACAACACATATAGACATGATCTTCTATTGTAAAAGACTTCCTGCATTAATTAATATAAATGTGTGAATGTCTGGATTTGTGTGTGTGCGTGTGTGTGTGTGTTAACTTTCTAGGAGAAGTTTACTCAGGTCGACGTTTTGATTCTCATGACAGCTGCTGTGTGTCATGATCTCGATCACCCCGGATTTAACAACACGTAAGATAAACCAAACACGCGCACACAAATCCTGTAATACATTGTAATATTTTTCTTTGTTTCCATCTGACCCTGGTTTGCATACTTCTAACTTCCCTCTGACTCCTCTCCTTCCCTCTCTTTTTCCATCTCTTCCACTTTCTGTTTTTAAACCATCTCATCCTATCCATCCTTCTCTCCATCCATCCTGGGCTTTTCTTAATTTTATCCCTGTTTCCTTTCATGTGTCCTTCTGTCTCCGTTCTTTCTTTTGTGTTTTTATTTTTTCACTTCCTCCAACTTTCACTCCCTCCAACCCCTCCCTCTGTCTCCTCCCATCCTTCCTTGCACCTTGTTTCTCTGTTTCCTCACTCGCCTCCTCCTATTTTGCCTTTGTCCTTGTCCCCTGCGTCTTTCTCACCTCTCCACCTTCTCAATGCTTCCTTCCTCTCTGCATCCTCATCTCTGCCATGTCTCTGTCTCTGCCCTTTTCTCTCGCTATATTCCAGGTACCAGATAAACGCCAGAACAGAGTTAGCAGTTCGCTACAACGACATCTCCCCTCTGGAGAACCACCACTGTGCTGTGGCTTTCCAGATTTTCTCTCAGCCTGACTGTAACATCTTCTCCAATTTTGACCCTGAGGCCTTCAAACAGATACGACAAGTAGGAGGGCTGTGTGTGTGTGTGTGTGTGTGTGTGTGTGTGTGTGTGTGTGTATTTGAATATGAATACATATGATATTGTCAGACAGTGTGGAATAAGACGATTGTAACAACTTTATAGCTACTTGAAAACAAATGGGTAGTCTGAAAAGACAACAAAAAGAGTGCCACCTAAATAACTCACTAACAGAAAATCCAAGGAACTGCTGCTCAGAGGAAGACATGTTGAGTCCTCTGTGAGTGTGTGTGTCAGGACACCAATGTTCATGAAAACAGTTTTCCAGGCCTAGAAATGGTTTGGAAAAGTTTTGAATATACATTGTTTTGGCTATTGTCTAAAATATGTTAATAAAAATGTCTCAACATGTCCAAGGTTACATTAAATATGTTCCTTCTACACATATCTGTGGTGGACCGCTCCTCTCTCTTCGATGCAAGACACAGAGATACAGAAGATCCTATATACCAACAGCCATCAGGCTTTATAATTCTCTGCCATATAATAGATGAGCTGACAGATAATTGAATTTCCCCTTGGGGATGAATAAAGTTATTCTTATTCTTATTCTTATTCTTAATTTAACATCTAGTGCTGCAGTGAGTGACCTTTAAAATGTCACTAGTATCACATGATACACTCGACTAGAATGGCATCATATCATTGCCAAGGCCATGCCCCCTTTTGGGGAAAAGAAACATGCTGTCACATCAATCAATCACAATCAATCAATCATTTTTTATTTATAAAGCCCAATATCACAAATCACAAGTTGCCTCAGAGGGCTTTACAGCATACGATATCCCTCTGTCCTTAGGACCCTCACAGCGGATAAGGAAAAACTCTCCAAAAAAAAACCCTTTAACAGGGGAAAAAAACTGGTAGAAACCTCAGGAAGATAACAGCAGCAGGAGGCATCAGGCAGGACCACGGCAGCAACACAACCACACACGTCGCACTATCCTGCCACCGCTGAGATATAAATTAACCTGCGAGACAGTGGAGCACAAAGGCTATGGAGAGGAAGCCAAGTTAGTGACATGCAGTACATCCGAGTTAGTGAGATGTAGTAACAGGACATGAGTGTTAGCAAAGGAGAGAGAGAGAGAGAGAGAGAGAGAGAGAAAGGAGAGAAGGTGCTCGGTGTATTATAGGAGGTCCCCCTGGCAGACTAGGCCTAAGTCAGCCTAACTAGGGGCTGGTACAAGGCAAGCCTGAGCCAGCCCTAACTATAAGCTTTATCAAAAAGGAAAGTCTTAAGTCTAGTCTTAAATCTACTTTTGGAGACTTTAGGGACCACGAGTAACCCTGCATTCTCAGAGCACAGTGTTCTGGTGGGATAATAGGGCACTATGAGCTCTCTAAGATATGATGGAGCCTGACCATTTAAAGCTTTGTAAGTTAAAGAGGCAACAGATAGGATTAGTTTTTTTTTAGCTTGGTGCCACCTAGCATCAGTGGTGTTTTGACCATAGGGATCAGAGATAATCAATAAAATGTAGGCTGTAAAGCCACCGGTATACCTCTATATATATACAGTACAGGCCAAAAGTTTGGACACACCTTCTCATTCAATGCGTTTTCTTTATTTTCATGACTATTTACATTGTAGATTCTCACTGAAGGCATCAAAACTATGAATGAACACATGTGGAGTTATGTACTTAACAAAAAAAGGTGAAATAACTGAAAACATGTTTTATATTCTAGTTTCTTCAAAATAGCCACCCTTTGCTCTGATTACTGCTTTGCACACTCTTGGCATTCTCTCCATGAGCTTCAAGAGGTAGTCACCTGAAATGGTTT